GGAGTCAATTTCTTGGCTTTAATTGAACTCTCAATTCATATTACTAGTGTAACCTTCAAAAATACATGGTTACCTACTAGAAACTCCAATGGTCATCTTCATCGATTAACATAACTTTTCTACTTGTTTTGAGCTATCACTAGTTTTTGTCTTATCAACTCAACCTTTTGTGTGGTCTAGTTAAGTCTGGTTTGTGGCTTGTCTATAGTTGACAAGGTGTACCTGTGACTGATTTGAAGGGTACATTGTTGCATCCCTTAAAAATAAATTAGTAGGCTTGCTTGTGCCATCATGGGCTTAACCATGTCAAGGAGAGTTTGATTTCTTCTTTTAGCAATTCCATTTTATTGAGGAGTTCTAGGAACGGTAAGCGATATTACAATTCCCTTCTCTTCATTGAGAGCCTTGAATTCTTTTGAGAGATACTTTATACCTTTATTGGTTTGTAAGATCTTAACTTTACTATTCAACTAATTCTCAACCATGTTAAGGTACTTTCTAAAGCATTCTAATGCCTTAAATTTGTGAGAAATTAGGAAGATATGGCCAGATCGTGAATAAATTATTGATAAAGGTAATAAAATATCAAGCTTAGTGTCAAGTCCTCACACTCAAAAGTCCACAAATGTCAAAGTATGCCAATTGCAAAGGAAATCTAAATGATGAACTTTGTTCTAGTAACAACATCAAGATCATAAAAGAATAACATTTATTTAGCATTTAATTGAGGAAATAACATGTACAAGATTTTGTCAAATTTTCAATGCATAAAGCATGCCATGTAACATTAAAGTTTTCCCACCTTGCAACACTAGTTTTACAGGTGTCAATACCTATAATTTTGTCTTTGGCATTGTTCCTAACATAAAGCCACATGCTTCTTATTAGTAATTGATGAAATATTTATGAAGTTCCCACAGCCGTAGCTTTCGTGGTTTGATGTTCCTAAGACTATAATCCATAATTAACTTTAACTATGAAGGTCATGGTAAAGTGTCCCTTCTTTTTGGCAAGCAAAACATTTGATCTTCTTTAGGTCAAATTTCTTCGCATATTTCTTGCTTTTTAAAGAAAACTTGCTTTCCATTTTGGACTTTTGGTCTACATTTCTTTTATGGACCCCTGCATTTCTTGGACTTAAATTTAGAGGATGAATTGTCCATTTCTTCAATTAAGTATGCCTGGATGGATTTGCAGCTTCCAGCTGTTCTTCCTCAAGTTCAATATGTTTAGTCACATTGTCGAAGGTCACAAAACTTTACTATGTGTTAAGTTTATCTTTATGCATTCCCATCAACCTGGGAAGCACCCTATCATAGCTTATACTCATTTATGGGAAAGAACATGCCCTACTTATTTAAGCTCTCTTATCATGTTTGACATTTCACTAAAGTGTTGCTTAATTAAAAATATTAAGCTTTAGCTTATTCTTATTGAACTTGATGATGAGCTTCCTTAGCTTTGTGGTAGAGATTCCACTAACTCTTGTCCTTTTAGGGCTATCCTCATGCCCTAAGTATTTTGGTAGAACTCAAAATCACACATGATATCATCATCCATTGCACTTAGCATAGTGATGCAAGTGATATTGTTCCTTTCCTTTTAGGAAATACAAACTTCTTATTCCCTTTGATTCCCAAATTCTAGTTCCAGGATCACAACTATCAGGATGTCTACATGTCTTGTTCTCACAAAGTATAGGAGATTTGATGATACGATGTATTGTAGTTATCTTATTTAAGCTTATCACCCTTATTAAGCTTAGCACTTATGGACTTGATTGTTGATTAATTCATAACTCAATCACATAGACAATTATGCATACTTAGTATGGTATACAATTATATTTCAGCTTATTTAAGTCAGATTCTTAGCAAACTGGATTGTAAGGTTTGCTACATTCATGTTCAGGAGACAACTAGGTTGACTCCCATCATAATCTTTCTAGCTAGATTACCTCCCTCTTAGTCAAAATTTTTATTGAATTTATGTCCCCTTATGTCCTCCTAGATAACACATTCTAAAAGAACTCCTACTCAAAAATACTTTGAATAATTAAAGCATTATATAGATAACTAATATACATAAAATAAAGCAATTGGATAACAATTATCTATAAAGTTTTAACAAACAGATAACAAATATCCATAATGCAATTATAGAACAAATATCTATAAAAGGTTCGAAAATTAACTAAAGTGAAATTCAAAATCCAAAAAAAAATAGGTCCAGTTTAAGAGTAGAACAAAAAAAAATTCAACCACAAAGCCAACACATCTCAATAAGAAGTTTGACTTTATATTTTTCCATTTTTTTTCATTGCTGATTTAATTTGTTTTGCTCCATATCTTAGTGGCATATCTCTTATCCCTTTGATCCAATTCATTCCTAAGTTCCCTTATAGTTGTAAACAAGAAATGTAGCCATAAGTTTTCTTGAAAGAAAATCTCAAGAGTTTCTAATATCTCCTTTAGGTCATCAACATGCCTAATTTTTTTTGCATGTTTTTTTGCTATTTCTCTAGCCAGAGTGGGTGTTAGAGGTTGATCAACTTCTTGCTCCTCCAATAACTTCTAGATCTCATAAGACCTTTTGCTAGAGATAGGCATTTTTCCTTTAATTCTTCTCTCAGAATATGATTTTAGTGAAGCTTATGCTTTCTTGGGAAATTGCTCAGCATAACTATCTTGTAAATGTTTTCTTCCTCATCAAAAAAATAAGATAGAGGAGAATGTGATGGAGAGTCTTGACTATGAGACATATTCTTTAATGATATTATTTAAGAAAAAGCCTTATAAAATTTTTTGCAAAGAAAAATAGCAAAAAATGGTCAAAGAGGCACATAAAACACATATAAACTTGTGTCAAAAACAAGAAAATAATATATCATTTTTTAGATCGTGAATTTAGAGATTTTTATATCCAAACTATGCTTTAAAAGGAGCCCATATGTGCCTCTAGAAAGTTCTAGAATAAAAAATTCATGATAAAATGAAAAGTAGGAGGAAGCCTACTCTTGATGCCAGTGCATGACATATATGTGCCACTATAGAGGTCGAGTTCCACCACACGAGCCACTTTGTTGGATTTATCTCGTCTCTACAAGTCCAACCATGTGTTTAAATTGACTATAAAATGCCTATGTGACCCTTACGCATCGACCAAGCAAGTGAGATTTTTTTTATGTTAGATTAGGTCAGGTCAACCAACTCGACCTAAGTTGACCGTTGACCAAGTCAACCCTTTGACCTGGTCAAACCTAGGTTTGACAGCATGGGTCAGGTAAACATTGGTCAAAATGATGTGTTGTGGAGGTTGTCTTCAACCTCCAGCCAGGTTGTTCCAACCTAGCGGTAGACCCATTGGTTTGTTGCCTTTTTTCACCCTTTTCTCCTTCATTTAATCTCTGTTTAATGCAATTCTAGTCATATTAGAATCGTCTATTCACCCTCTACACAATCATACCAGTTTCAAAATCCAAAAACTAGTAAATCATGAATCTAAAATTTCAAAAAAAAAATCATCCTTTACGTGTTTTGAAGAACAACATCAACGGAGGTTTTGGATGCTTTCAAAATTTTTTTTTGACTCACAGGAGTATAGGGAGGAAGAAGAGAAGTCTAAAAGTGATAAAAACACATATACACATAGATCTGAATCAAAATGCAAATCCAAAAAATAAACAAAAATAAATTTTGAACAAAATAGAATGAAGGCCAGAGAATAGCATGCATATTTGTATGAGCACATTCAAATGCAGCGAAAAAAGAAAAAACATGTTGAGAAGCCAACCAAGTCCTAAATCAAGGTAAGGAAAACCCCTTGATCAACAAATGGTAGGAGGAGAAAAGAGATGCATGATGCACATTTAAGTAAAGAATAATAACTGATATAAATAAAAATTTAAAATTTATATCACTATAACTCACAACCGTAGCCGTGGGAATGGCGCGGCTTTAATACCAATGAAAAATTATTAAATAAATAATAAACTAAATAAAAGGAGTCGGGTTAGAATCTTACTAGATTCGAGTGTACCAAAATCTATCTGACTACTTACACAAGTTTAGACTGTTAGAGTTTAGACTTATGGTGCATAGTAGATCCACCGAAGAGAGAAGGGGGAAGAACAAACTAGAAAATTATTTGTTCTTATGTATGTTTTACCTCCAGTACCTTCCCTATTTATAATGGAGGAGGTCATCTCCAAAAAAAAAAAAATCAAATCAATAATAATTTGACTCATATGGAGGAAATGAATTGATTTGACTAGTTGCCATTATTATAAAGGATTACTTCTTTTTGGAACTCAATTAAAAATTACTCAAATTAATTTCAACACATTATTACCGGATTAATGTCACATCTCATTGATGGCTCATCAAGGATGGATTTTATGCAAATTCCAACAGAATGAATAGAAGAATTGGTGTTGACAGGAGCTAGTTTGAGGAGTGGGAGGAAAGGAACTCATAGTGGCGAGGGTTTGTGAAAAGATGGAACAGTGTGATCTTGGGATGATAGCTCTAATACCACGTTAATGAAAATGCACACAACAATAGACCAAAGTTTGTTTATTTGTGCAACTTGTCTATCTGTGCACTGTTTACGTACCCCTATATATAGGAGATAGTACCGTAGAATAAGTGAATGGCATAGCATGACTAAGAAAGCTAGAGAGAGTACAAATGAGAAAAGATGAAAGTATTATGACTTGACATTAGTCAAAGAGTCAAAAGTATCCTTTGATGTTTTTTTATGCCGATGTGTCCTATCAGCATCTATTTTAATCATGACTAGACATTTTTTTTCTTTTTTTTCTTTTTTGTTTAATGATATATAAACTTTTGTTATTTTACCATAGCATTGAAACTTCTAACGTGTCATTGAGTTTGAATATGTTGCAAAAAGCTTTCTATTTAATTATACACACAAACCTAATATTTTGTTATTTCCATTTATCTTTGTCTTAAAAGGGCACAAATGAAGTTAGCATCATAATTCAAGACAACTTTGCCCAACGCATGCAAGTAAATTGAGATAGGGAAGCCTTTAATAATATGAAAAATCCCAAAATTCTTATTTTTGAAAATGCAAGGTTTTCAGAAAGTCCAAAATATCTTCCTAATAGCTTAAGAGTGCTGAAATGGCGAGGGTAACCTTCAAGTTTGCCGCTTCATTTTTGCCCAAAAAAGCTTGTGATATTCGATCTGTCATTTAGTTGGTTGAGCTCATTGGAAATAATTAAGGTAAGAACCTATCTTACGTGCATTTCTCTTTCACTAGAATGTACATATATTTGATTATATATATCTTATTCTAATACTGGTTATAGTTTTTGTTACCGTAGAAGTTGGAGAATTTGAGAGTTCTGAATATGGGAAGTTGTCAATATATTACAAATATACCTAATCTATCTGGTCTTCAACATTTGAAGGAATTGGATCTTCAATCTTGTAAGAATCTAATTGAAATTCATCATTCAGTTGGAAATTTGGCAAAACTTCAATACTTGAATGTAGAGAATTGTGGTCGGCTTAAGATTTTTCCACGCTGCATCAAGTTACCATTCCTTGAAATACTCCATCTTAACAATTGCTCTAGTCTAACGTATTTTCCAGATGTACTAGAAAAAATGAAAATAAGATATCTACAGTTGGTTGTGACTGGAATAGAAAAATTGCCTTGGTCGATTTGCAACCTTACTCGGCTTAGAAGGTTATTCATTAATCGACACCAAGGGGTGACTGAGCTACCAATAAGTATTTTTCTGTTGCCAGAACTAGAAGTGATTGATGCTAAAAGATGTGGAAAGTGGCTATCGTCGAATCCAAATGAAGCAATAGAAGAAGAAATCTGGCCCATGTTATGTCCAAACATATTCGCCATTTATCTCCAAGAATGTAATATATCAGATGAGCTCCTTCGAACTTATCTTACTCGTTTTATCAATGTGAAACATTTGGACTTGACGGGTAATAATTTCACAATTTTGCCCGCATGGATAAAAGAATGCCAATATTTGCGGCACCTTATACTAAATGATTGCAAGCATCTTAGAGAAGTTGAAGGGATTCCACCAAAGACGGAATATTTGGAGGCAATAAATTGCTTATCATTGAGTTCAGAATCCAGAAGCTTGTTATTGAGTGAGGTTATTAATTTCTCTCTTTGGTCTTACTATTTTGTTGAGTTTCTATATGTTCCTTAACATTAATTTGTTTTGATGCTCAGGAATTACTTAGGGCTGCAGTGATTAGACAATCGGACAACATAGTTTTCAAAACATTCTTTTGTGTGCCGTTGACTTGCATCCCAGACTGGTTTGATCACAGAAGCAAAGGAGCATCTATTTCCTTCTGGTTTCGTAATTGCTTCCCACCTCTCTGTCTTTGTCTTGTCTTTAAATCAATGGACGATGTTTATGATAATTGTCATGTGACTACTTCGGTGTGCATCAATGATAAAGAAGTATATTGGAATGAGTTATGGAATAGGGATGCACCAAATGTTGATCACATACTTGTGTATGATCTGAAAGAAAATCACATATCTTGGGATAAAATGGGACAAGCTTGCCGAAAAAGTAAGTGGAATCACGTAAAATGGGATAAAATGTTCGTCTCGGAATGATGCCCTTGTAATAAGAGAAAGTGGAATCTATGTCATCAAACAACATTGTAAGATGGAAGATATTCGATTTACCGATCCTTGTGAAAGATTTGATTCTATCAAAATTAACCAAGGTAATGCTCTTTTGTCCCTAGTTTTATGATTAATTCTTGATCGAATAATTTCTCATTTATATCTGATTATTGTGCTGGCTTTTTTTGGGGGGGGGGGGAAGTTAAGAGAAGAAGAAGACAGCCCCTATTTTCATTCTTACGATGTTCTTTGACTTCTTTTATTGTTTTGTACATCATTAACCATTATTTTAAAAGCTAGACCAAACCGGATGATCGAATTGGTTGGATTGTCAATCAAATTTTTAATGGCTAGATTTTGGATAAAAAAAATTGTTTTCATGATTGAAACAGGTCAAACTGAATTTGAGCCATAATTAAGTTAAAAAACATTGTTTTCATGATTAAAATAGTTAGACTGAAGTTCAGCCATAATTAAGCTAAAAAACAGATGAGTCATCAAAATAAAATATAAAAAAGCTACAAAAATTTTTAAAAAATTTAAAAAAATTAAACCTTATTAAAAGCCAACTTTATTTTTGGACCATTTGCATTTATATAATATGATTTGAGACCATTTTCAAATGAAAATGTTAAGAGATACTTTTGAGCCTACTAATACCCGATTTAACCAAAATTTACATATATTTGATAAGTTATAATATTTTATTAACAACTAGCCAAATATGTTGTAAATTTATTTCTTATATATATTATATTTCATTTAATATTATTTTTTATTTAATATTTATTTTAATAGTTTTCAATGAATTGTTGGACCGCAAATATCTATTGTAACATAGATATTATTGTGATGAATTTGGTTTGTTTGCATGTCTTTGGACGCTGGATTTTGTTTATTTTAACTTCTCTTAGCAATGTCAAAACAAAAATCATATATGTAACTAATTAGGAAGTATCATCATTTGAAACATATAAAAAAATATTTCAGTTAAAAATATATGTATGTCAAAACAGTAATTTAAAGAACATAACTAAGCATCTTAAGTCTTAACCGTTAAGAAGATTTTATTGCCACTATTTATCTATTGTAAAGCACCAATTGATATAATTTGGAACAAATCAATGCTTATGTGGTCCTTATTCAACAGAACCATTCGGTCAAAGCATCAAGGAGAAAGAACTAGCGCTTAATAACAAAAGAATGTTGATGGAGGATGACAAGTTTGCCTCGGTAAGCTCATATACTATTATTATTATTATGTTGTTGAACACTTGATATAGCAATGGACTTTCTTGTTAATAGTGTTTCAATTTATGACACATTTTACTTCCAGAGTTCAATTGCCTTTAAATGCACAAAGAGAGAAAGAAATTGCATCATCAATCAGGATGACAATGACGCAATAATCACACCAGCTGAAATCCAATTTGCCAATGCTATGGACATTGTTGGTAATCAAGGTACACGATATTCAACCCAATATATAGCTTCATTAATAGACAGCAACTTTTACCAATTTTTAAATGAATACGACTGGTCTTATATATCACATATTTCCGTACGCTATAATTATTTCTTCCTTTCTTCCATTGTCACTGAGTTCGTCTCTGCGTAAACTAGACATCATCAGAGATGATTTCTAGAAAATTTTAGTGATGGAACACTCAAGGTATTCGTCTTTAGATTTTGATTTCTGTCAACTTCGTATTTATTACCTTTTTATGGATTTCCAGTTGCCCTTGCATCTTATGCAGAAGAATATAAGAAATAGAATATTAATGTCAACATTGGTAACCAAGATATATAAGACGCAATAGCAATGATGATGATGATGATGATGATGATGATGAGATTAATAACTCAGAGAATCTTGGAAACCGCTACCTAAACGAATATTAATAATGGGGATGAGTTGTCCTGATCATATCTATTCAAAAGGATCATGGACCTTGATTTGAATTATTAATATACACTCCCTCTATCTCAATTTATAAAATATTTTAATAAAAATAAGATTTTAATGATAATACTTTTCTCTAATATTACTCGTCCTATTACATTCTCTCTTTTTTATATTCTTTTATAAATGAAATAATAAAGAGTATTTTTTTAAAGTTTATAATTTTATTTTAAAAAAATAATATTTAAATTGTAATTAGTGAACTTTATTAATATGTGTGTATATGTAATTTTGTCTAAAAATATTTTATAAATTGAAATGGAATGAGCACTTCATTACCAATGTTACCATGAACAGGACATGCTTGATTGTGACATCTCAAGAAACCATGCATGGTTCGTGTATAAAATCGTAATAATATACCAATTTACCTCAATATTGTGCCAATCTCTATCTAAACAAATTTAATAATTTAACTAATAGGTCACGATGTTGAAGATAACAATTGGCTCTCCTTGCGTCCCTGTTGGGAAGCACCTTTCTATGGAGAGACTGCTAATCACCAAGGTAATAGACTCATGATGGATTTCAAGACGCTAAATATTTCACACTGTCCTTATAAGTTGAGCTAGAGATAGTTCAACAAATTAAAATTAATCTTTAATATGTGTTTGGATGCTAGAATTTCAACATCCACAAAATGCTGAGCATATTCCAGAAAGCCATGAACACAAAAGAAAAGCCAAAGGAAAGGAGATAGTGGTCTTCAATGACAACATAAATGGAAAATGATTTAGCCAATTTATAACAGGTATTTCTATTATTAATTAGTCAAAATCATATTTATTGCATCTCTATGAATATTTCATCAGTCAATTATGAGTATGTGAAAAATATGCATCATTATACTATTCCTCACTCTAACATTTCTAAATATGAACCCTATACCATTTTCTTTTTGAAATAAATTCTAAATTCCTCTGTTTTAGCAGCTGCAAATGATTTGCTTAATATAGTAATGCTTTAATTATCCAACACTAGTTAAAAGTTTTAAATTGATTTAGTGAGTTACAAACATTGAAAAGAAATGTTACAACACGCTCATGTTGTCACATCTTTTAAACTTGAAACCTGATTTTTTTTTTCTTTTGTCTCTCTCTCAATATGAGAAAGTAGTCAGGAATGTATGTTTTGTCGGTGAATAAAATGCAGACGTACCACTGGAGGCATTAACTCGGTCAAAAACGATAAAATACAAATTACAACAACAACAACAACAACAGAAAAATTGCCCAGATAATATTACACAATAATCCTACAATATGGACGTTAGATATTCGAAAAAATGAAAGAAGAAATTACTTTTAGGCATCATAAGTACATGCGTGTAATTTTACATTCACAGTGGACAAGCAAATACATGCATACGTGTTGTCTTGTCAAATTTATGATTAAAATATCATATTTTATTCATATCCACTAAAAATTCCCTTGACTCACCGATTCATTGTTATTTCTAAATTGCAGCTCTTGGATCTGTTTACCTTCGTGTCAATGTGGGGCAAGTAATTTTGAGAGAGCATGTTGACAATAGATGGAAAGATTAATTGCAATCACTGAAAAAAAAAAAATTGTTTGTCTTTCACTTTAAGTATTTTGTTAGGTTTGTTGTTAATTTAGCTGGAAAAGTTTATAGATGAAAAGCATTGTTCTGATTGTTGCATGGCTTATGAATATTATTTTTTAAAAATAACTTTTTAAAAATAAATGAATGACTGCAAACTCGTACCTAAGAGACAGATTATAGAGACAGATTATATTTAGAAAAATATTTTAAACCAAAGAGACAGATTTTCTCAAATTTTGTCACTATGTATTAAAAAATTTAATATTTTTTAAAAAAGTATGAGACGAATTTAAAGGTGAACAGAGGAAAAATTATGAGTAGGTCTTGTACAATAGGTTTATTTATAAATAAATTTTGTAAAAGTTAAAAACTATAGTCAAATATCTTGAGAGTTGAATATAACTTGTGGTTAGGGTATAAAAACACTACTACTCTTGTTAAATTTTACAAGTAAAAAATTATAATTCACAAGTCAATTTTTTTGTTTAACATTTGATATAATATAGAGTCTTCATGAAATTAGTTATGCCTACTTAAGACTATACTTGATCTATTGAGTATGTAAGAAAGGTGCTCAATCTATTATTCTACTTTACCCTATTTCATATTGCCATCAAATGTCAATGGATTGAACCTCACAAAACTAGTCCAAGCTCAATCAATGGATGGATTAGCAACCACTCCTATGGCTTGTCTACCTAAAGCTTAAGATGGCCTAGGTCTGTTGTGAGCTTCCTCTTGTACTAGTCTATCCTGACCTTCCCTTTCATCAGCCTGATCTCTACCTCTCAAAAGCATATCATGATCTCACATTGTCTACCTTATATTTATCATCATATCTCTCAATTCTTCCAGCAAAATATCTCCTATCTGCTTGCTCGGCTCATCTGGTTGAACCTCTGGCATAGGCTTATCCTCAACTAGACGTCTTAATACTCGAGTACTTCTCGAAACTCAAGTACCTCTTCTTGTTTTCTCCCCTCCTAAGAATGAGAATAAAAGAAAGTTAAGTAAAAGGGAAAGATTAGTGTAATGAATAAGATATATAAGTTGCCACTTAATAAGATGAATATAATAGACAATAAAAAAGAACTAGATCTGAAAACTCGAGAAACTGATACTAACTATTCATTATGCCCTTACTGACATTATCATTTAACCTTCCATGTAATCTATCAAATAATATAAAATCATTTTTCTTTGAAAAGGTTAGGATCTCAACATAAGACTTTTGAAAATCACTTAATTTATGCTAAACAGCACACAGCAAAAGCATTCAATCAGGTATATGTAAACCTCAAAAGAAACTACTTTAAATAAATAAAATGTTGACCACATCTGAGCCATACACTGCAGTTTGTGCCACATGCACTGAATCACCTATTGCCAGTCCATTTCCACCTATTGCCCCCAGTCACTTCTTATTTCAAGCCTTAACATGCTCATTCTCAAACTTTTCCCATTTTCCTCTCTCTAATTCAATCAGTTTGAGCCTATAGCTTCAAAGTTTTATCATTTCCACTCAAACCAGTTGCAAGGTCCTAGTTTAGTCTTTAGTAAACCTTTATATTACTATAGGGTAAAAAAATAAACTCCTTAAAACTTTCAAATTTCATTTCTCAATAGTTTAAACTCAGAGGAAATAGGGTAGAATCAGAGGTTAAGATAGTACAAGACTTATCTGATAAGTAACAGGTCATAAATGTCGTCCTTACTCCTAAAACTGCTTGCCCTAGTAGAGCACCTTTCCTTTTCCACTCATGAACTTCCTTTTCCTCTTTTCTCTTCTATTTTAATGAGCTAAGCGACAAACTTAAACCTAAAATTTTATGCCATGCGCTGCGGCACATCCAGCACAAGCCATAATTCGTAGCATGGTGAGAAAACTCCTCATCGTGCTTACACACTATGCTTCAAAACACCATTTTCCCACTCTAATATGTTCATATAACATTTCAAAGAGTCAAACTAACATTCCACCATCCAAAATCTTAGTCTTACATTAAATTATTGATTCACCCCTTAACTAGTTTTAATACATGAATAAAAATTTTGGATGTTACAATTCATGCTTGATGCACAAGTACACTCACGCATGATTTTTCATGACTCAAGCAAGGTAGCTTTCTGTGTGACAATTCATGAAAGAAACCAGTTAGGTTCTCACACATGCTTTGTCATGCCTTATGAAAGCCATAATTCTATAATGCATTTCATGCGTGATTTAGCATGTAATCATGCCTGAAATGTCCTAAAACATAAAAAAATAGCTCTCTTAATAAGATAATACAAGGATCTTCTGACTTTCTCCTTTAAGAATTATCCCAATGTGATCTAAAAAGCCATTTGTAAAACAAGTTATGACTACTATAAAATTTAAGTTAATAAAAGATTCAAATATAAACAAATTAAATTTGAAAACTCATCATAACTTATTGGGATTTATCATTCCCAATTCCCTTCTTACAAATGTAAATTGTTATTTATCTAGAGGTTTAGTGAATATGTCTGCCAATTGCACATAATGTAAACTTACAAATGTAAACTTAGTGGTTGGAACAAATTCCAGCACAATGTCCTTCTTTTGCACATGATTCCTTAGAAAATGATGCCTTTTGCTTGGTTCTAGAGTGTTGGATATGATTCCTAGCCAAATTGATAGTGCTTGTGTTATTACATCATATTAGAATCTCCTTAAGATGAACTCCTAAATCTTTCAATTGTTGCTTCAACTACAAGATACAGCTAAATACTCTATTTCACATAAAGATAAGGACACACTATTTTGTTTCTTGCTGAATCATAAGATGAGTAAGCCTCCAAAGAGCTAATAAGTTCTACTAGTGCTCTTTCTATCTGTCTTGTAGCCAACACAGTCTGCTTCTAAGTAGGTGATCAACTCAGGTTTTCCTCCTCTAGGAAACTAAAGTCCCAGCTATGGTGTTCCCTATTTATATACTTAAAGATCCTCTTCACAGCCTTTAAATGAGACTCGCTTAGATTTAATTGGAATCTTGCACACATACGGACAATGAACATTATATCAAGTTTGCTAGCAATGAGGTACAATAATGATCCAATCATGTTCCTGAATCTAGCTTGATCTACCATCTTCCTTTTTTCATCCTTGTCTAGATTGAAGCACTCATGGGAACATTGCTTGGATTGGAATTCTCAAACCTAAAATTCTTTAGTAGCTTATGAAAGTATTTAGTCTGGCTTATGAAGATTGCATCAACTCTGCCTATGTTTATAGCCGGTCCCAAGCCCGGGTAAAGGAGGAGGGTTGTGTTAGGCCATCAACAGCCAATGTAAAAATTTGTTGAATCTATCATGAACATGGACAATAGACGTTATAATGTTAATGCTAGGTCGTTGCCCGTAAGTAACGCGCTGCATGGCTCGAGTACAGTGATAAGTGAGTTAGAGCCGCTGCATCGGCGCCCGGATGTAGTGTTAAATGAGCAAGGGCTACCGCGTCATTCTGGACGCACGCGGCTAAAGAAGTTAGTCCATAAGAGCAAAATTAGATTTGGTACTTGGAATGTTGGGACATTAAATTGTAAATCTGTAGAGGTTGTAGGGGTTATGATTCAAAGGAAAATCAATATCCTTTGCTTGCAAGAAACAAAATGGCGTGGAGAAGAAGCTAAGGATATTCAAGGTTTCAAACTTTGGTATACAGGAAAAGTAAGTGCACGCAATGGAGTAGGCATCATTATAGATAAGGAGTGGAAGAAGAACGTTGTAGAAGTTAGTAGAATTGGAGACAGAATTATTTCTTTAAAAATGATAATTGGACGTGAGACTGTTAATATTGTTAGCGCTTATGCGCCGCAAGTCGGGACAGAAGCCAGTCTTAAGGAATTATTTTGGGAGGATCTGGAGGGGTTGATTCGACACATACCACAGAGTGAAAAGATTTTTATTGGAGGAGACTTTAATGGGCATGTTGGGAGGGAAGCTGGTCAGTATGTGAGGGTGCATGGTGGTTTTGGTTTTGGAGAGCTAAACAATGAAGGACAAACTCTTCTTGATTTCTCATTGGCGTATGATTTTAAGATTGCCAACACTTGTTTCAAGAAGAGAGATGAGCATCTCATCACTTACAAAAGTGGAGCCTCAAGGTCGCAATTGATTTTCTTTTGGTTAGGAACACAGATAG